TTCCTTACCAAATTATTTTGTAATTAAAATGTGCACATATTGTAAACTGATTTAATTTGGCTTGAAAGTAATTCTCAGGAATTCTGTGGTTCAAGAAAAACTGTGACTTTTCGTACCAGTGAATACATTTCACAGATAGTGAGTTGAACAAACATTGTGAAATTACATTGTTGTGAATGCCATCATTGCGTAAAAATTCCTAGCAATGAAAATTGAGCAATCTACAGTACAATTAACCATAAAAAAATAAAATATGAAAACAAGTTGAAATTATTCACACACTTATTATACACGACTCAATATGTGTATATGCTAAAATGTATAACACCATGCAGCAGTGACACTCACTTTAAGTTAATCAAGATTTGAGAAAAGTTAGAATTCTTTTTTTTCATTAAGCCTTCTGAAGCAGAAGAATACAGTGACACATATCATTCCCTATTTATAATGTGTACATGTGTGTACTAAAATAATTTCATTTCTTCTAAATCTATATCATCATATTTTAGAAATAAATTCAAACTCTAGTCATACTAACCTTTTCTAGTTCCCGTAGCAGTTCTTCACGTTCAGTTAACTTCCGAATACTAAGGATAATTTTATTTCGAGCTCCTTTGGTAACATTCTACAAAAAGAAGAAAGGACACTTCTGCTCAGCAATGTTGATTTAATTACTTGTCTAGACGTAATCATCAGATCATTCTCACCTACAACTATTTTTCCAGGGCAATATACAAATATGATGCTTGGAAATGAACACAAGATATAAATTTTATGAATGAACATAATTGTTAAAAAAAGAAGCATGCATTTAAAAAAAACATACACAGATTGTACAAAAAGTTGGTACACCTTTTCATAGAGCCATTCTAAAATGGTTTGGTTGGTTGGTTGGTTGTCTCAAAACATGGGTTAGGAATGCTCATTGCTGACATATGATCATTTAACAACACTTTCTTGGAGCAAAAGATAGAGGTTTCTGACAATGGATCAAAGAGTACTTACTTTAGCCTCCAAGCTCTCTTCAGTAAGTGTCATCATTTCCTCATAGGTTAATTGTTGGAAGAGTTGTGAATATTTATGGAGACGCAGACTTTTCAGCCAAGCAGGTACATCTAAACACAAGAGAAAAAGTAAATACAGTATAGTGACATTTCCAAAAGTTTATATTTACAATGATATGTCCTGTTTATGTTTGCAGTGTCCATGTTTACAATGATGTGTTATGTCCATGTTTACAATAACGTGTCACGTCCATGTTTACAATAACGTGTCACGTCCATGTTTACAATAACGTGTCACGTCCATGTTTAAAATAAAGTGTTACGTCCATGTTTAAAATAACGTGTCATGTCCATGTTTACAATGATGTGTTATGTCCATGTTTACAATAATGTGTTATGTCCATGTTTACAATAATGTGTTATGTTCATGTTTACAATAACGTGTCATGTCCATGTTTAATATAATGTGTTATGTCCATGTTTACAATAACGTGTCATGTCCATGTTTAAAATAACGTGTTATGTTCATGTTTACAATGTGTTATGTCCATGTTTACAATGTGTTATGTCCATGTTTACAATAATGTCTCGTGTTTATAATTACATGTACAATGAAGTGTCCTGTATGTTTACAAAGTGACCTGCTCATGTTTACAAAGTGACCTGTTCATGTTTACAAAGTGTCATGTTTATGTTTATAATATAATATCTCACATTTACTTTACTTTTCTGTTTTACTTGCCTTTGCAAAAGATTTGCATTTCAACAGTTTTCTACCATCTATTGTAAGGTTTAGATTCAGTATCTTCAGTATATTCAGTTCATGACAGGGGAGGGGGGTCTCAAATACAAAATTGGAGGACAATATAATTGTGAACAAATATAGTGCTATAGGCCAATCAATTACATTAGAGAAGAATTACTAACAATTGTTTCTTTGAGACCTCAATATGAATTTTTCCTGCAATCACACTTTTAGCATACACAACCCAAGGCTGCCATTTGTTATGTTTTTACCATGCGTTTCTAATAGACAATGAAAGTATAATGTACTCCATTGATACCAGAGAAGTAATTAGTGTTATCTAACCAAGCCTTAAAGTGATTTCTTTGTTGCTTAGCAACACAGAAGTGATACAATATAATGGGCCCCACTGAGTAATCACTTGTCTCAAAAGTTTAAAGGGCATTTTTGTTGTCATGACAAAATGCATTCCATATTACACACAGTAAACATATCGGCACAAGTAAAATGCACTGTTTATTTGAACAAACCCATGTCCACCACAACTACCACCCAATGGATTTCAACTCTAATAGATGATTAATTATAGAAGAGCAGAAATAGTACTTTTACAGTACTTCATGAAGCATCACAGCACTTCATAAGGGCATGGTTGCTATAGTTACAATCCCCTCTCCAATGCCGACATATTTTTATACACTTGAGATGGCATGCTTAATATTCAGATGACAGCATAATATTGTCGTCGTCGTGACTGTCATTTATGCCTATGGGCAGACTACTTGAATGGATCCGGAATATTGACTGCAGCTGAAATATTTCATGCTAAATCTAAGATTATAAATTTATTTTTGTGGTTATTTTATATAGAGCATGAGATAAAGATGATACAAATAACTGAATGACGTCAATGACAATGCAGGAACACCAGCCCTTTAGTCTGATATAAAGCCGAAAATCCATACCAACGTATCTTAATATTTCAAAAAACTCTAGGCATATGCTATTACAAAACATTTTCTGATATAGTGATATCAACAAAAAATGTTAGTCAAGTTAACATTATATAATAAGTGGTTAAGGAATTATCGTAAATTCAAATGCTTTCTATGAGCATGATCACAACAATTATTTTTCCTGTATGGTTGCTATGGGCATGGTTGCTAGGAACACTCGCATCTAATCATTGATTTTAGTTAGTAGTTAAGTCGCTGGTGTCAGGATCCAAACTAAAACCGCAACCCCATAAGCAATATTCATGCCAAGTTGGATTGTTATCACATGACCAATATGCAAGTAAGTATAGAAATAAGGTTAACAAATTGATGGAGCAATTGAACTTTTAATGGTAATTGCAAATAGTGGAATCTGTCACAGGACCATACCATACCTTTCATGCCACTCCCGTCTTCTAGGAATGTATTCCTTCCATTTTCCTCAGTCAGAGTTTCTCCGCTTCCTGACGATGTGACGCTACTCTGAGGTGAGAGAGGGGCATGTTCATTGCCCCATCCGAGAAGATCTTCTGCAGACATCCATGTATCGATAGGAGGACCAGATGATGTGGGAGGGGTCAAGGAGTTGCTACGCTTATTACGCATTGGAGGAGCCAGTGAACTACCACTTGTCCCTACAAATAGTGAACAATTATGTAAAATGTGTACACACAAGTGATAGAAGAACATGCTTGGTGCATGACTATTAACTGCTTTAGATTCACAAGACAAATGCAGTGTTCCCCCCTGCATCAGTTGGCAAGATTTACACTTTTTTTTTTAATTTTGTTTTGAAAAATATAGACCCACTAGGCACTTCAGTGGCACCAGAAAATTTACAGCACAAATTATAATATCGCAATTGGCAGTGTTGTAATTTATATATGGGCGTAACCCTATTGCTTAATATCAAAGGCATATCTGTTCTTCGGGAAGCAGCCATTACAAATACCGGTAAGATAGTATCCGAGTACCAGCAGTCACCCTGGTGTTGAATTCTCAAAAACTCCGAAAAGTATTGTGGCCATGGTTAAATTACATGACATTAAACAGAAAAAATTGTGCAAGGAATTAATGTTCTCTTTTTTTAATTTGTTACTTGTATTATGTGTTCCTTCCAAAATTACTGTCCCTCAAAATTGGCCCCAATTTTTCAAACATTATGAACAACAGTGGTGCCTCCTCGGAAAATCATATGAAAATCTGAAATTAGCTGACCTATTCTTTCACCTAACCTTGTATGAACAAGGTTATTTCAGTGCTGACCTTCAAAGCTGATCACTTCTTCCGGTTGCTACTACATGCATAAATACTTTCGGAAGATATTTGTCAAGTTGACTACACAAATACACGTGGCTAGACAGTATTTCACGCTTGTGTGAGAACATAAAGAAGCAGTTACTCAGAAATCAAGTATGCTTAGGATTACATGTGGCAAATTTAGAATACATCAGTGACACATTGTACGCTTCAGCATTGTTCTCAGCACTGAGGATGCACCGAGTTGTCC